TACTCCTTCCGGAGAAAACTGTTCATGCTGCAATACCAAACAGATAAATTTAGTCCAGAGATCTTGGAATTGTTGTCACTTGCTAACTTGTTTCAGATATCGGTAATCTTGCGGTTTCAGCAAATAGTACTTCACACGTTCTTCGTCAGTGGCTCCCTCGAGAAGGTAATAAAACACGTGATAATTCCTAAATTAAGCAATTCTAGATCTCTTTTATCATATCGGATTCATCAAGAATTTTGGCCATCTACACTCATCTGGTAATATGTTATGTTTGCGCCTGTTTCCCTCTTTACTTTAAGAAGGACGGAATTTCAAAAAGAAGAAATATAAGATTATGCGTCGTTCGCAAATGCCTTTCTGCATCTAGCGAATGCTTCTATTCCTTGAATGATAAGCGAAATTCCTACATCTCCTTATTAAAGAAGTAAAAGTGGACTACTGCAAAACATAAATGGAAAACATCAAGAACAAACATCTTGAAGTTTGGCAACAAGTTTCTATGAGCGATTTAATATTTAGAACCTTCAAAAGAAAACAAAAATTGGAATGTAAGACATTTTACAACATTACAACAATCCTTTCTTTAAGAAACCTCTTGAAGACATAAAATGCGAGTCTTTCCGGATAAACAAGTTTTGTGACTACTTAATTTTCTAACCAAAAAAAAAGTTAAGAAGTGGTTCTTCAAGGCCGCTCCTTTTTACAGGCAGTGAGAAGCTTATCAAATTACGCTAATTCCAAAGTCTTCTTACCCTCATGTTCACCTTTTTGATAATGTCTAATTTAAAAATACCGCAGGAGCAGTATGTGCGCAGAGGGTGTGTGAAAGGAAAGCTTTGAAATCCCCTTCCTCTGACGAAATACCCTTGGTATGCGTGTATTCAAGAGGATCATATAACAGAGTGGAGTGTGGGGTTAAAGGGTAAACAATTGGAAAAAACACCGGTTTTACATCAATCTGCTAAATGCTCGACCATCTCTCATATCTTTTTACATGATATTTTTCAAGTTTGTATAAAATTGTGAATGTCGATAGGGCACTACCAGAGTACTATGAA